AAAGGTGAATTGTATATGTATATAATTGTATATATACATATACATTTGTACATAGGGCAAGCAGGAATGAGAGATGAAGGAAAGAGGCGAGCGAGAGAGGGCAGAGAGTGGGAGAGAGGTGAATTGTATATTTATATAGGTTAAATAACTGTATATTATGCATATGCAATTGTATATTCTGATGAATTATACATATACAAACATGACTAATTATACAAATTCGAAGTCAGTCCACGTAATTAATGTATAATGTTAGTCGCGAGTGGTAATTATATCAAACTATAACTATAATGAATAATTAAATAGTATAAGTTTGCTTTGTTGCGTAATTTTTCCTATAATATAATTTACACAAATCTCATAGTGTTACGAGTTAATTACATTATTTTCCTACTCTTTTTCAAAGTATAAAAAATCCTTTAAATGTATGAATTTCGAATACATCCCTAGACTTCCAAATACATTAGTCCGAGAGGGAATAGGTATATCATAGAGGAAAAAGGACATCTGGATACATATATAGGGAAGGAATGTATCCGAGAGAGGAAGGTTGAATCAGAGAGGGAAGGGATGTCTCCGAGAGGGGGATAGGGATGTATCAACAAGAGGAGAGCATTTGAGTGGGGACTTTTCAAGTTTTTTTTTCGAATGGTAGAGAATTTAGAGATTATGGTAAAATAAGTTTGTGTATTTAGATAATTTTTTCTATTTTATATCTATGTATGTATATACTAAGATGGATCCCGCAGACCTGGACTTGGTTTAATTCTCCCGAAAGTGGGCCGGTTCAGCTGACATGTCATGGGCCTAAGTATCAAAAACTTGTTATTGGGCCATTCCTCTGATCAATTGGGTTGTCTAGACTGGGTTTTGATCCACTCGCATGTGGCATGGTTGAACCTAGTTTACAAAAGTAGCCTATCTGATTACCTTTGCAAACATAACCGCAAAATGTATACTCGCTGAACTATGTTTGCACAAATAACCAAATAGATTAAATTTGTCCTTCGGACTAGAGTAAAAAGGAGTTCAAAATATTAATATCAGAAAACACGAAGTCTATTGAAAATGCCAAAGGAATTCAATGTATACTACATATTTATGAAATTAATTTTAAATGTAAGTAAAAAAATATAATTTTTTATCAAAAGGCTCCATACATTCCACTTGACTCCGCCTTTGTTTATTAGTGGTAAAACATTATCTTCTACTTCTAAGTTAACTTTTTTCTTTATTTAAATTGTTTCGATTAACACGTAGACATTATATTTATCAACTTTTTCTATCAAAATTGTTAATCACTAGTCATGCACCATCCTCGCACCTATCGATCTTCCGTAAAAGTTTCCTATCCACGAACACTTAATCAAACACCGAGAAATATTTCAAAAATAATTCCAAAAGATCTATAAAGAAAATATTATATTTCACAAAAAATTAGAACACTTTTTTTAAAAAAAAAATAGCATCATAAAAAAAACCCAACAATATTAATAGTTTAAGTTTTATGATACAAAATATTTTGTGCATATTTATCTTCCATGTTGATTTAATTGACCTTAAAGTACGTACGATCAAAATATCCTACCAACTTTGGTCATATTGTGTGTGCAGACTCTAAGCAAACATACAAAAGTGGTGACGCTATACCTACGGACTAGAAATTTTAATATCTTTTTAATTTTGGTATTTATATATTATATATACATATGATATACCTATGTTAATGTGTCATATATTTGTAATTAAAAAGTATAGCATCCAAAGTATGGTGGTTATAGTGGAGCAGGAAAATAAATTTGTAACTTATAACTAACGTCACTCACCACCTCATTCTTTTAACCACTCCTAGATATTTGATGTATATGTGATAAATTTGGAGAAACATACTTTGATCTCAAATATATCTTTCTCTGTTTGTCCAAGTACATAGTGTGCTCTAAATATTTATACGAGTTTTTTTTATATATAAATGCAACTTGTTTAAAATAGAGGGTGGGTTATAAATAAATATTTATTGTCATCGCAAAATATAATATATATGACGATAATTATATTATTGTCGCAATTTTTTTGTTATTGTGAAACAGGACGTGATTGGTATTGTAAAGGAAATCGCACAATTTATTCACATGTGAGGTATAACGTATAATAATTTCAAGATAAAATGTAGGATTATTTTATCGTGTGTTTGGTTGGATGTATTATATAGTCATGATTCCGCCATTTATACCTTAATGATGGACATATATGTGATAACTTATCCTGATATAATTTATCCAGAAATAGTTAATCCCCATAATTCTCAACCAGATAATCCCCAATTACTACAGAATATACAACCATTTATTTTTAACTATATGATATGTAAAATTATTTGCAAAATTAATTTAGATTCATATCATGTAGCTCTTTAAAATTGAGGAAGTGCTCTCTAATAAATATAAATAATTTATTTTCATAATTCAAACTTGTTACGTGGGTGGATTGAACGCCCCAACTACATTATCAATTTCTAATTTTATGTTTTGTCATAAAAAAAAAAAGTGTGTCATATGCATGTATATAAACAACATTATTATATTATTAAAGACATAACCCGGGATTCCTTGATGAAAAAGGTGCACAAAAAAAAAATTGAAAAAAAAAGGAAAAACAAAAAAAAGAAGAAGATATTCCATGGATTAAGTAAAAAAGATGATGCAATAATTTCCTCAACTTGCCAACTTGAGAATGTGAAATTAAAGCCTTTCAAGATAGTAAAAAGTGTGATTAGTAACTTTAAAAAAAAAATAGACAATCTGCTATATAACATGTTAGAAATATAATGTGATATAACTTATGTAGTTATTTATATTATCGAAGTGTATAAATTCTTTAACCGTAAATATCTTTTGTAAAACACACTCACTAGGCATGCATAAGCTTATAGAAGTTTTGTCTCTGGACAGACGACATTCTATAAAAAGTTGTCTTGTGAAATTAGTTTTTCCTAGTAAAATTAGGCCAAAATCGAGAGTAGTTTAATTAACATTTTTTCATTAAATGAACAGTAGAAGTAAAAGTTGAAGTTTATGAATTTGAGAGGTGAATATTAATGGTTACGCTATAGTAAAGGTGAATAGCCCTTAAGCCAAGCCAATTTAGTGGCGTAGTTAAAAATTTTATGAAGGGTATCTAAGAATTAGGTAAAAAGAATAATTTGACAATAGGTGCACTAAAATTTTGAAATCGAACTATGTAACATTAACTATTAAATTTTTTCAATGAAAAATATACTAAATTTCTTAAAATCAAACCACGTAAGATTTAGCTTCAATTTTCATATTTATTTAAATAGGAAGTGAACGAAAAAGAAAAAGAGAGAGAAAATTCACTTTATGATGAAATCACATTTATACTTCAAGATTTCACCAAACTTTGGCTACTTAACAACAAGATATGAAAAATAAAGAGTAAAATCAAACGAGTTTTTCTAAAAGAAAATTCTATATAGAGCATTTTTCACTTTTAGTAGCGGTATAGAAAAAAATTAGAATTTCCTAATTAAATTTAAATTAAATATTTACTTTTAAATTTTATTGAAAAAAATGATTAAATTTAATGTAATTGAGACTTGAATTTATGGGTGCGGGCATTTTGCAACGCGTTGGGCCAAGATACCGCCAGAATAGGAGACTTTAGTGTGTTTAAGAGTGTCCATAATGTGTTATTTAATCATGTAAGGTGTAATTTTACTTATATAAACGATGTGATCTTCCGACGAAGAATGTCCAATTGGACATCCTGAGTATAGTGTACCTCCACCCTTGCTAGCTATTTAAGAAATGAGTGATCTATATATGATTTGAACTGTTCCTATCATTTAAATTAACTTTTCGTGTTGAGTTAGATTCGATATTGAACCTTATAGTGTCTTCCATATGTTTCATTTATTTATTTTATTTTTCATTTAACTTAATTCCAAACTACCAATTAGCTTTTACATATATTTCCACAACTTAAAGTACACAAGTATATCTTCTATTTGATTTAACCAATTAAAGTCAAGTCGGCATAGTTGAAGTGACATTTATACCAAATTCTTTATTACAAAAAAAATAACACCTTTTTTTGCATGAAGACAACTACGTTAGTTGACAAATCAAGCAACAAAATTAATCCCACAAAATATATATATATATATATATATATATATATATATATATATATATATATATATATATATATATATATAT